CTCTTGGGGCCATATGGTGGACCTCTGGGGGCCCTCTTGGGGGGCATGTCTGGGCGCTGCCCCTCCTCCTGGTGTGACTCGTTCGGGCTCCTCGTGGTGTGAGTCGTTCGAGGCGCGCGTCGTGGTGTGAGTCGCTCGGGCTCCTCGTGGTGTGAATGGGTCGCGCGCCTCGTCCTGGTAGGAGTCGTTCGGGGTCCTCCTTCTGGCGTGAGTCGTTCGGGTTCTTCGTGGTATGAGTCGTTCGGGCCCCTCGTCCTGGTGTGAGTCGTTCGGGCTCCTCGTGGGGCCTCTTGGCGGCCTCTTGGAGCCTCTTGGGGGCCTCTTGGGGGCCCTCTGGGGGCCTCTGGGGGCCTCTTGGGGGCCTCCTGGGGCTCTGGGGGCCTCTTGGGGGCCTCCTGGGGCTCTGGGGGCCTCTTGGGGGCCTCTTGGGGGCCTCTTGGAGGCCTCTTGGGAGGCTCCTGGGGGCCTCTTGGGGCCATCTTGGGGCCTCTTGCGACCTCCTCAGAAGCGCAAAGAAGCGCTGCCCCCTGAGAAGGACAAAATGAGCCCAAACCCATAGTAACATCAATAATTTTGCTATGAAGGAAGATGAGCGCGCCCCCCTCGGGAGGCCAAAATGGGGCCAACACCCTCGTAAAAGCAAGGATTTTGGCTTCACAGAAGAGGAGGGGGCTACAAGAGGGTCCCCCCGTCGGGGCCAGAATCCTCGTGAGGGTCGTCGTTTGTTGGCCCTCCCAGGCGTCGAAAAAGACCCCCCTGACCACCCGCGGGACTCCCTCTCCAGGCCCAGGGGGAGGGGGTAGGGGGAGGGGTAAACCCCTCCCCGAAGGGAAAGAAGGGGGGTTGGGGGGTTAAGAACAGAGAGAGCCCGCTAAACCACTCACGCCCAAAGGGCTGGTGGGACTCACGTTTTTTGGGGGCTTGCAGTTTGATCATGAATTTGCATCGTGTTTTTTATGCGCGGTCGAAGCAATGATCACTGTGTTGGAGCGTATTCCTGATGGGCGCGAGGAGGAGGAGGAGGAGGAGGGGGAGGAGGAGGAGGAGGAGGAGGAGGAGGAGGAGGAGGAGGAGGAGGAGGAGGAGGAGGAGGAGGAGGAGGAGGTGCTTAGTTGCACAGAGGACTGTTGCGGATCCCCTGCGGGCAACATGGTGTGATTTCGACTCTGTAGATCTCTCTCAATATGCCTCGTGACGGAAGCGTCAAGAATTCTACATTTAATGCAGATTGGGGCTACGGCCCACCTTTCATCGCCAATATTGCGGATATCCAATGGTGGTTGGCTGGCCCAGCCGACCACACCACTTTCTCACGAGTAACCCAGGGTCTGCCATCATCACCCAAGTCCTAGATCATGACTTTCTCTGTCCAAGTCGACGCACATTGGATCAACTTGGGTTTGATCGAGGTCGTTATTGGATGAGCTGGTTCTCTGTGGGCGCAACCAGTAACAGGCAGTTCCAGCCCCAGCGGCGCAGTCGTAGTTTGTAGGAGAGCAACAGTGTGTAGCTTGCTTGGTGGGTCTCCGAAGGCGTAAGTGCCTGCAGGATGGACATGCGCCAGCCTTTTTTGTCGCCCTGCACGCTCTTCAGCTTGGGCGTGCATGTCCTTTCATATTCCTCGTTTTCCCTCCTCCTTCAATGGACACCTCCTCTCTTCCTCCTCTACCTCCGTCGGTAGTTTTGCTGCCCTTGGTTCGCCATGCGCACTGGGTTTCTGGAATCAGCCCTGCGCGGTCGTCACGCACGCTGGTGTCTGGCTTAACGCATCGACGAGTTTGTTCTCGACTTGCCACGCGACGGGGCCGTTGTCTTGGCCTGGAGAGGGGGGGGGGGGGGGAGTGGAGGGCGCATGAGACGGTGGGCGGGGAGGGAGGGGACGCTTTTCGGCGACCCGCCCAGGCTGCGGCACGTGCCCGCACCGTGGCGACGACTGCTCGCGAGGTTTCGCGTCGTCCCATGCTCGCGGGATCGGGAACTCGCGGCTCGGGGGGCCCTGTCTCCTTCTCGTCCCTCTCTGGGGTCTCCTGCCGCTGCTGCTGCTGAGGCCTCCTCCTCCTCCTTTGGGGCCCCCCAGCCCGTAGGTCTTTCCCAGACGGGCCTGACGCTAGAAGGTGTAGCTGGCGATACCCGTCAGTTCGCAGTGCACGAGCGTCGGGTCCCGAAGAGACGAGCCAAAGCAAAGCTCAAACCTCGAAGTTAATTTTTGTATAGCTTTTTTGAATTTCCGATCCAGGCCATGTAAGTCCATGTAAGTCTTGAGTCGTGCTGCCGTCCCCCTCGAGCACGCACACCCGTGCCACGGGCGGACTATCCCCCTTGCGCACATTCCCATTGCCAGCAGGTGGCGGGGACATGGGTGAAGTTGCCCTCTGAGGCCACTCAGGTGCCAACTATTTCGAGTGGATGCTGATAGAGAAAAACAAAAAGGTGGCCCCAAGAGGCACAACTCATTGTTTTACGATTGGGCTTTGACGGGTTTAATTTTTTCGGCCTTTTGGCATCCCGATGCTCCAAGACGGCCCAAGAGGCTTCCAATACCGCTCCAACATAGAGGAAGAGGCCTCCAAGAGGGCCCCAAGACGGCCCGCGAGGGCCCCAAGACGGTGCTTGAGGCGCCCAAGACGGCCCGAGAGGGCCCCAAGAGCCCAAAGAGAGGCCCAAGAAGGGGAACGCGACCCAAAAGCAGAGCGGTACCCCCACAAGGCCCACAGGAGGCTGCAAGAGGCCCCCAAGTGGTCCGACGAGGACCCGAAAAGCTTCCCGAGGGCCTAAAAGAGGCCCCTAGGAGACGTCTAAGAGGCTTGAAAATAGCCCAAGAGTGCCCTCGATGCGTCAAAACTGCTTCCAGTAGGCCCCCGGGAGGCTTCCGGATTGCCTCAATCTGGCCGCAGGCGGCCTCAAGTCGGGCCTCCACGCAGCCAAGACGGCCAATGACGGCTTCAGATTGCAGAACCGATGCCCCCAAGGGACCCTCAGACGCCCCCCCAAGAGGCACCCAAGAGGTGCCTCCAACAGCCAGTTGACGAAGCATGCGGAACACCCCAGAAGCTCATCAGATGCCGTCGCGCGCCTGTGCTTGATAGCGTTGTCCAAGATCGTCCAGCGCCTCCCCTGCCTGGGGTAGAATCTGAGCGCGCGCGATGGTTCTAGTGTATATATATATATATATGATCCGATATCGATTTCGACCCGCCCGATCGGATTCGATTCCGATGTTCCGACTGCCCGATGCGACCCGACACCACCATGGCGGTGTTGTGCATCCTGGCGCGACCGATCTGATTGGATTTCGATTCAGTGCCGACGAGGCCCCATCCGACGCACGTTCCGATCGGATCCGATGACCCGATTGACACTGACCGATCCTGCCTCCCCTGGCTTTCATTTCGGCTTATGATGTTCTAGCCTACTTCAGCCTTCGAGCGCACCCCAAACTTCGAGGGTGTTCACGCGTCGGGCCCTGGGAGACACTGTGTCGACACTCTTTCGGCACTCTTTCGACACTTTTCTGGGAGCTCGAACTTATTTTTGGGGATGTGGCCCTTAAGTGCGATGGAAGCAACATAAATCTCGGCTCGCCCCCCCGCTGGATGAGCGGGAGGAGGGGGAGGCGGAGGCGGAGGAGGAGGGGCCCGCAGAGCCCCGGGTGGCCAGCCGCGCGGCCGCGCGGCCCGGCGGATGGGGCTCCCGCTCGCTTCTGGGGCCCTCCTGGTCGGGGCAGGAGCGGGGTGCACGCCGGTCGTTGAAAGTAGGTAATTCTGGATTTCCAGATCCCAATATACTTCAAGCGCCTTCCTACTTCAAGAATCGACACGCTTTTGCTGTGTTTTGTTATTCTCTGGGTTTTGTTATTCTCTGGGGGGGCCTGGACCCAATCCACTTTATCCGCCGTCCTACTTCATGTTGTTACCTACTTCTTCCGACCGACGTGGAGCCTCTCGTCCTCCTTCCCCTCCTTCTCATTCTTTTGCATCGTCTGGCACACCCCAGATCGGATCATCCTCTCCCAGGGTCGGGTCAGTCCGTCAGGAGGTGGAATCGGTTCGATGTTCTGGCTGAACCGGCAGGGTTCGGCGGCAGAGTTCGGCGGGCCCTGTTGCAGCCTTGTACCTTTTGACGCCCGCGTGTATCGGGGGCGGGCATGAACGGGGTGATGATTCGGGGGGGGTGGATGTCATGGCGGGGGGCCAGGGTGTCTCCCCAGGTTTCATGGCGCCTCTTCTCAGTTCAATACGTCCCCAACCCCCCCGCCGGCCACGATTTGCGCCCCCCCCCCCTCTCTCTTGGACGCCCCCTGTTGGACGCCCCCGAGTGTAGGGGCCTGTCGCAGGTGTGGCTGGATGCACACGAAAGAAAAGCGGAGGAGGGAGCAGGACTCCCCCCCTCTCCCCTCCTCATCCCCCTTCTGTCCGCCCCTTCCCGCCCCGGCCCAAAGCCCGCCCAGGAAGGACATAGGTGATGATGTTGATGATAATGCTGATGATGATGGATGATGATGATGATGATGATGATGATGATGATGTGATGATGATGGTGTGATGTGATGATGATGATGGTGATGATGATGATGGTGATGATGATGATGATGATGATGATGATGATGATGATGATGCTGATGATGATGATGATGATGATGATGATGATGATGATGATGATGATGATGATGATGATGATGGTGATGATGATGATGATGATGATGATGATGATGATGATGATGATGATGATGATGATGATGATGATGATGCTGACGATGATCCCCGCGATTTAAGGGGTCAGGAGTTCCTAGCTCGTACTGCCCCTTGAACCGAGGCGTTTCCCTGTGGCCCTGCGGCAGCAACGTTCGGCCTTGTGCGCCTCGGCGCACAACGCAGATTCTCTCGAGTGGCCTGAGCTGGCAACCGTCACGGCCGAAGCAGACAATCGACAGATCCAGGCAGTCAGAGACTCGGCCCGCGACGCCCGCGAGCTGGTACGGGGCCTCGAGTGGGACGTCCAGGATGATGCTGGCCGCTGCGAGGGCGGTCCGAGAGGCGGCCTTCGCCTCCAGGAGCTCGTCCGTGGACAGGAAGTCTGCCGCCGCTGTGGCCGCCAAGAGGCAGCCTACGAACCTGGCGCCCGGGTGGCGCCCAAACAAGGAAGAAAGCGAGAGCACAGAACCAGAGGAAAGATATGTCGCGAGCTTAGCGAGCAACGATTCGAGTCGATCGGGGCCGCAGGAGGTTCAGGATATGGTTCGGCTATCAGGCCCGAAAACGACCACCGACCGCCGGAGATGCTGATCGTGAAACGGAGGATTTCAAGGACCCAGGGCCTCAAGAAGAAGTGTAGAAACGCTGTCCGTTAGCATCTCGGCTCGAACCTTTCAGGCGACCCTGCGCGCGCCCAACCGGAGGCCTCAGCCCAGGGAGATTTGCTGGTCATGTGGGTGCTTGCCAGTGTCGTCTGGGCGCAATTCCCCCTGGGCATCGCGGTTTCGTCCAAAGGAGGGGCCCGTCGAGTTCTGGACAAGGGCTGCCACCAATTCCAAAAGGAGCACTTCAGAGCAGGGGGCCGAGTCCGGGCGGGAACCGATGGGAGCCTATTCCTGGAGCATTTCAGGCAGCTCAGATCGCGGCGGCGGAGGCCCAGGCCCAGCTGGCCGCCGGGGGGAAATGCGGCCTCCGCCGCCCAAGCCGCCAGCGACGACGGCTCCGTGCTCGGGCAGGCCACTTCCGTCTGGGCTCCCAAGACCGATCTCTCCGACGACCGAGGCCCCCCCACCGAGGTTTCTCGGAGCTGGGTGCCGGGCGGGCCCGATCCGTCTCGCGCTGGGGGGGCCATGGGTGCGAGCTCTTATGGGGGATCCCAGGAGGGGCCTCTGGACTTCTGCCCGCGCTACAACTTTCGGCACTGCGGCAACCGACGCGGGAAGGGGGCGGCACGCAGGAATTGCGGGGTCAAGATCGCATGGGCTCGAGAGGCTCAGCCACCCGATCCGGGAGACCCGCCTCCACAGGCCTCGACTTCCGCCGCCGCCCGCAGAGCAGCCGAGCGCGCGGAGAGGGCCGTCGAGATCCTCGAAGCTCAGGTGCCCGCTGCTGGGAGCGCGACGCTTCGGGCGGTGAACGACGCGGGGCAGCTGCTGACGGCGATTGCCCATCATCTGCAGGAGCCCCCAGATTGCAGGGGGTCTAGAGGACGCGCGAGTTGCTCGAGCGGATGCACGAGCAGGTCGCAGCGCCCCAGTCCCATCCGGACCAGGCCGCCGAGGCCTCCCTGCTGAACCGCCAAGGGCTCGCACGCATCCGCCGGATGCTGGAAGGCAATCTGGCGCCCATGGGAGACATCTTGGACCCGCTGAAACAGACCCTGAACGCGCTCGCGGGCCAGTTGGCCAACGCGGAGACCTCTTTAGGCCAGCTGGGACACCTGGTGCTGCAGATTGACATCCAGGTGTTGGGGATATACAACCTGATCAGGCCGAGGGGCCATCAGCCTCGGGGGGCGGGGCTCAACAGGCTGGCTGGGAAGTCGCGCCGGGCGTGGCCTCCTGCGGACAAGAGCGAGCACAGTCAGGGACCCGACGAGGTGTGAGATCCGATCTGGCCCACATTTCTGCATATTCCGTTTTGTCGCGCCCGTCACCTCGGCCAACAGTGAAGCCAGCGCCTCCCATATTCTAATGCGCAGTGCCCTCAGGCCAGCCACCTCGGCCAGAGGTGAGACTAGCGCCTCTCGCGCGGCACCTTTTTTTCTGGAGCTGTAGGGATCCGAAGGGACTCCTGAGAATGCGGAGTGGCTCGACGGTGACAAGTTGAATGGCGATCATGAGTTAGCTCTATCTCGGGCTGGGATGACCGGGAAGACTAAGTCATGGGATTTCGCTTCTCGGGCGCAAGAAGAGAACGGAACCTCGGTCACCGTCCCCTGGGCGAAGTCAGGGAATTCCAAGAGGCCCTCGCGATGGACTCGCGGGGGTCGCACCCTTTTCTATAGGTGTTCTCGCCTCCCAGAATCGGACCAGAGCTCTCGAACATGGGGCTTCCTTTGGGGCGCGCGCGAGCTTCGATCGGACTCTCGGCCGGGATTGTCGAGGGGCCAGATGCGATCCGCGAAATCCGGGATGCGATGCGCCATGACGAGCCAGGAGTCGCGTGGCTCATCCCAGAGTGCAGAGCCATTTCAGTCCTGAACAAAATCAACCTGTTTCGGATGTCTCCGGCGCAACGCAAGCTGATGGCGTCGGAAGGCGCGGGGGCGCCCCTGGTCAGTGGAAATCGCAGTGTTCCGGGCCAGGCGCGGCAGGTTCCTCGCGTTCGAACACCCGTATTTCACCGCGTCTTGGATGTCTGAGACGGCAGGGCTGGTGGCTCAGCTGCCAGAGACGCGCAATCTAAGAATAGATGCGCGCACGTTCAACCTTCGGGTGCACGGCGACGGTCTCAGCCAGAAGCCGACAGGCATTCGAACAGGCCGCTCGGGAATTCCGAGGGCCTTGGGAGGGCACATCTGTTTAGGAGGACACAAGCGCGAAAGCAGGTGCACCCTTCAAAAGTTTGCCCGCGTCGCGGCCCGAGCCGCGCTGGAGACCTGGGAAAGGGGCGAGGCAGCCTGCGCCGATCTCGTCACTGGACATGTTAGAGAGCTCCGGAGCTCAGCCCCCCTTGACGACCTTGAGTTCTCCGAAGGCGAGGACCTGGGAGAGGGGGGGTCGGGTCCCGACCTCGACGAGCCAGAGACGAGGCCGACGCGGCAGCCTGGGAGAATATTCCGATGTCACCGAGTCTGAGAGTCGGCTTGGGCCCGAGCTCCATGCCAACATGGGCCGTTCCGGCAGCGGGAAATTTATTCGGGCCCTCTGGGCAGGTGGGGCCAAGAGTCGGGTGCTCAAATACATTCGGAACGCATTCCGTTGTCCAGAGCGCGCCGAAAGAACGGGGCCCGACCACCATCGCAGGGTGGCACTTTTTCGAACCTTTCGTTTCAATCATATAATAGGAATGGATCCACTTGTTGATCATCGACGGAGGTCTCGATTTCCATGGGCGACTTTCTCGAGGTTTAAAGCGCTGGGGGGGTCCTGAATCACGTCGCGGGCGCCGACGGCCCCTGGCAGACCGGGCGAGACGTGAGACACAGGGGGTGGATTAAGTTTCGGTTCCAGGGAGAGATAGACTGGGGGTCGGACCTGCCCTCCAACCTCGACGAATCCGGCTCTCTTCTAAGCGAGCTGACCGCGCGCAAGAATGGGTTCTGGCATCGGGGGGAAAATTTGCGTTCGGACGCAGCCCGCGTCTTCCCCATCAGCTGCTGTCAGACGACGCTTCAGGGCTGCTGGGCTGGCGCGAAGTGCTGGGGCCCCCCTCGGGACTGGGCGCGGCCGGGACCGAGTTCGCTAGATCTCAGCGCACGAGGGATCGAGCGCGCCAGCCGGCCATGGAAACGACGGCCCAGGGCCATGTCCAGAAAGCGACCCGAGCCAAGGGGCCCCCAGTGAAGAGTTTTGCGCCTGGCCAGAAGGTCTTTGCGCGGAGACGCCTGGCTAGACCCGCCTCTAGGTCAGAACGGGGTCCGTCGCGACGCCTGGACAGGCCCCGGGGTCGTCGTCCTCCAAGTGGGGGGCGCCGCGTGGGTCGCTATGCGATCTAGGTTCTGGAAGTGTCCTTTGGGCCAGGTCAGGTCGGCCTCCGCCAAAGGAGAATATAGTTTGCAGCTGGCCTAAGACCCGCAGTCGACGGAGCCGATGGCGCAGGCCAGACAAGGGAGAGCCTCGGCGATGGACGTCCAACGAGAGGGGCCTTCCGCCGATGCAGCGCGGGGCCGCCCAGACCATGCGGGGGGGGACTTCCGGCTATCCGCCTCGGCGGACCGCCAGGCCCCCTGCGGAGTGGATTCCGGCCCGGGCGCCCCTGTGCCCAGCCCAGGAGGTTGGCCAGGCCGCGCCAGGAGGCATTCCGCGGGATCCGCCGGGTCGGCGTCGGCTCAGCCCCCCGCTCGCCTGCCCTCCATCTCGGAAGAGGGGCTTCCAGCGACGCTTCCGAGTCCGTCGATCGAAGCTTCAGGCTCGGAGCAACCCATGAGAGACGAGCCCGGGCTGCAGGGCGCCTCGCCGCCTGAACCGGATTCAACTCGACATCTTGGGGGGGGCAGCTCGAGGGGCCCAGCGCGCCCGCCGCCCGAGCGGTCCGGACGAATCTCCTGCAGCCAGACGACGTACCCAGCTGCGTCCAGCGAGCCAGGGCTGAGGCAAGGTGCGCGGCGGCCAGCCGTGAGGGGAGCGAGCTCTCAGAGCCCTCGGACGCGCCTTCCGGGTTGCCCGTCCAGATTCTGAGATCCAGCTCTAATTCTGGCCCTGGGCAGGGCACCCAGGAACTTCCCCGGCGAGCTCCGGGACCTAGCTGCGAGGGACATCGCCCGGTGGCTGAGCGCGACCAAGACATCGAGGAGAGACTGGGTCGACCCCAGACAGGCAGCGCGACCGCGAGCGATCTCCGCGCAGAGGAGACGCCGAGTTGTCCTCCTCCCGCGCGATTCCGGGCGCGCAGGGACCTCCGCAGGGCCAGAAGGGGTGTTCGCCACGGGCCGCGGGGGGGAATCGCCCAGCCCAATCTCGCCGCTGCCGAGAGAGCGAAGTTTGACACTTCAGACGCCTCCGAATGGAACGACGTGGCGGGTTCCAGGGCCGCGCGAATTACACTTCCCTCCCAGGCTGGGAAGATTCTGGAGGCGATCCTAGGGGGGACCTCGTCATTCAGGACGGTCCAGAGATGGTGGCCGCAGGAGGGGACTTTCGCTGAGCCCAATGTGAAATCTCGACGGCGTGCCCACGGCCACCAGGACCCAGACGCGGGATCGCTGACGGTCTCTTCCCCCGCCCCTCAAACAACGTCGATGAATATGTTCATGTAAGTGATGATGATTTTCAACATGTTGGGGGATATCGCCGACGTGAAAAACGCTTTCACCCGGCCCGGCCCTAATCGACGGGCCAATGGCCCCCTGCGTGTAGAACCGTGCCACGGCGCGGGGGTCGAGGAGGGGTCTCTGATCGAGCTGTCCGCGCGCGCGGGGTTTAGACGACGCCCCGGTGTCATGGAGGCGCGCGGTCACGAGTTTTTTTACAGAGAGGGGATACCGTCGCCCCCTGCTGGAGCCCCGCTGGTGGACCAAGCGAGGCAGAGGGGGGAGATCGAGAGCGTGATTCTGATAGAAGTGTAGGATGTCTTCACAGCTTCCATGAGTGCTGCTACCAGGACCGCCACCAGGAAAATGCTCGAATCCCGCTTCCGATTCGGGAAGTATCGCGACCTCCTGGCTGGGCCAGTTGAATGCGTCGGGCGTCGACTGACCCGCAGCCCTCCGACTCATCGTGGACCAAGACTCATCGTGACGGTTCCCTCCGGACGACTGTCTCGCCGAGACACCCCATTCGAGGTCTCCGAGTTCAAAAACTCATGGTAATTACAGAATCAACTGGGTGGGGCGATAGACCCGACCGGAGGCGGCCGGGATCGCCTCGATCTTGGCGATCCGCCTGAAGAATCCGACGTGTTTCCGCGTGATGTGCGCCAACAGTTTGGTTCGTCATTTGCGCTCTGCGGCCTCTAGATGCCTGTCAGTCTGGAGACCCGACCCCGCTCGAACGACCATCTTGATTTGTTTCAGATGCAGGAGGCATCGTGGCCAGCGGGTGCCTCTTGGAATCCGAGGGAATCCCCGAGGGCCCAACCCAAGGTCTTTGGATGGTTCTCGCCACGGACCGCGTGGTCCTGGATAACAAGGCGGTCCGTGCCTCTCTGTTAGGGCGGTGGTCATCCAAGTTGAGTCGCCATGTTCCCTCGACTCTCGCCGGGGAGACTCTTACCCTCGCTTCGGCAGTGGCCGAAGTCGAGTTCCTGCAGGTACTGCGTAGGGACGCGGCGTACCAGGATGTAGATCTTCCCGTATGTTCCAGGGCGATTGCCCCATTTACCACAGTATTGCGCCAGGGCTGTCGTCTAGGACATAGAGAGAGGCAAGTACATGTGGTAGACGCTAAGGGTGTGTAGTGATGCGGTAGTGAAGGGCGGTCTGGCCACGGCCAAGGACCATCTCACTGCCTTGCACCTGGCGATAGTATGTGATTATCAGAACGTCTCGGGGGGTAATACGATGGATTATCCGGTGATTACCACACACCAAAATGTCCGTTTACCCACTGACCAAGGATGGCATAACCAATGTCAATGCGGCCCTGTTCGATCTGATGGTCTCCGGAAAGCTGCTGCTGGTCGACGAAGCCAACGAGCTAGTCGACAGACGTGCCGATCCGCAGAGCAAAGGTCGTTCCCAAGCCGCTTCCGCGAGGGCGATTGCTCGGGCCAAAGAGGAGATATCGTGGACTTCCTTCGTCGATAGTGAGGATGTCTCTTCGTCGGGCCCGGGGACCCCCTAATGCCGTTTCCCTCTCTCCGCCACCTTTTTCAGTTGTGCGCAATACTTTTGTTTCGTCCGTGTCGTTCGAGCCTTGATGGTCCAGAGGTGGGGCTACCTCTGACTTGCGGAAGAGAGCAGTGTGAGGGGACTGCGATTGCTAGAAAGCTTGACGCGTGTGGAAACCGTGCTGGTTTTGTTGTTTACAGGTTTAGCTTTAACATGATGTAGGAACGTGCGAGGGATCCAGGCGACAGGGGTCCAAGTGCATTGTCATTGGTTTTGACAGCGTGTCTCAAGGTCTAGAACGCATCTACCGCCGCTCCTGCTGCCACACCCCCTCTGCTGGGTCTGCCCAGCAGCGGGTTCCCCAAGGACGCCCCAGCGCCCCGACGCCGAGGAGGAGCCTGTCTCCCCTGGGGTTTCGGCCGCCCGCGCATCCGCGGCCCAGGGTGGAGGCTGGACCTGGCCGAAGGCTTCGGCCACCCGCATGTCTGCGGCCTCGCGCCAAGGTCCATTGCCCTCCGAAAGGGTCTGCCCCTGCCGGGTTCCCCAAGGACCGCTGGTGGCCCCAGTTTCCGCCGCAGGTGCCAGAGCTCCCTCGGCAACCATGCCCGCGGCCTGCCATCCACAGGCTCCAGCTGCTCGCTCCCGTCCTCCGCGATAGCGTCGACGTAGTTCTCGAAGGTCACGGCGAAGGGTTTCGAAACCGCCGCGCAGCGCCCAGCGCCTGAGGCCACGGCGCCTCCCAGCCCCAGGCGGGGCCCCGCCGCGGCCCAGGCGAGGCCTGCTCTCGACGCGCCAGGGAAACCGCCCGCCCTGGGGGGTCCGCGCAGCGTGCCAGGCGGCGCTGCGCCGCCTCCGAGCGCCCCCAGGAACCCATTGCCCAGTGGCGGCCCTGCGGAGGGCTGCCCGAGCCGCCGCTTCTCGGTCCTGCCAGGAGCCCGGGCCTCCGCGGGCCCTCGCACGCGCCAGCGCCGCGACCTCCGCAGCAAGGTGGCGCCGCGCAGCTCGGCGAGCCGCGGACGCCCCCATCTCGGCCGCCTCCCTCGGGCGCTGCGAGCTGCGCACGCTGCGCGTGCTGCGCGTGCTGGGCCGCCCCGCCCGCGCGCGTGCGGGCGGCCCCCCGTCGCCATTGCCAAGCATCTCCCGAGAGCGCGCCGCAGTGTGGGCGCCTGCGCGAAGTTATGGAGAATCAGCTTCAGCCAAACTTGCTACGGATGATGATATGGTGATGATGATGCTGATGATGATGATGCTGATGATGTTGATGATGATGATGATTATGATTATGATGTTGATGATGATGATGATGTTGATGTTGATGCTGATGCTGATGATGATGACGACGATGATGATGATGATGATGATGATGACGATGTTGATGCTGATGATGATAATGTTAGTGATGTTGATAATGGTGATGATGATAATGCTGTTGGTGCTGATGATGGTGACGATGATGATGATGATGATACGGATGATGACTGTCCTGATGATGATGCTGATGACGATGACGATGCTGATGATGCTGATGCTGCTGATGACGATACTCATCATCATCACCGTGATACTGATGAGGCTGCTGATAGTGATAATGATGAGGATGGTGATGAGGAGGAGGAGAATTCCGATGATGGCTCAGGTGCTGATGTTGAGGATGATGATGCTGTTGATACGGGTAATGATGATGATGATCATGATGTTGATGCTGATGATGCTGATGATGGTGTTGATGACGTTGGCTGATGTTGGTGGTTGTCATCATGACGATGATGCTGATGGTGATGATGATGATGACGATGTTGATGGTGATGATGAGTATGCTGATGATGGTGAGGATGAGGAGGGGGATGGTGAGGATGAGGAGGAGGAGGAAGATGACGATGCTGATGGTGATGATGATGATGCTGCTGCTGCAGCAGATGACGGAGATGACGATGGAGATGTTGGTGTTGATGAAACTGATCATGATGATGTTGGTGATGCTGATCTTGATGGTGCTGACTGGAAAACTATGATGATGATGATGGTGGTGATGATGATGATGATTCTGGAGCTGGTGCTGCTGCTGGTGATGATGGTGATACGTGATGGTGATGATGATGTTCTTGATGATGGCGACGGTGGTGATGATGATAACGACGACGATGCTGATGCTCAAGTGGATGATGTTGATGAGGATGATGATGGATATGTTGGTGTTGATGATGAGGTGGCGATGAGGATGCTACTGATGATGGTACTGATTATGAAGGTGATGATGATCATGATGATGTTGATGATGATGGTGAAGATGATGCTGATGATGACGATGAGTATGATGATAATGATAATGATGCTGATGATGATGGTGATGATGATGGTGATGATGATGATGATGATGATGATGATGATGATGATGATGATGATGATGCTAATGATGAAGGTGATTATGGTGGTGGTGATGGTGGTGATGGTGGTGGTGGTTTTGAGGAGGAGGAAGAGGATGAGGAGGAGAAGGCGGAGGAGGAGGAGGAGGAAGAGGAGGAGGAGGAGGAGGGAGGCAGATGTTGGGAAGAAAGGAGGAGGAGGCGGAGGAGGAGGAGGAGGAGGAGGAGTAGGAGCAGGAGGAGCAGGCGGAGGAGGCGGAGTGGCAGGAGGAGGAGGAGGAGGAGAAAATGGACCAATGTTCACCCAAGAGCCATCAACGATGTTGAAATACAACCTCCCTTCAAGCTCCCTCTTCATAGGCCCCTACAGCGGTTCATTTCCATTGAGGGATCTGCCTCGTTTGAAGACAACTTTTGAAGACCCGAAAGCATGGCAAAACATTGCTCTCGGGATGTCAACGTCATGGGTCAACCTGACTGGTGCGCCTTGACGATCCTGGATCGTGCCATAATGCCATGATTGGAATTTCAACACCGAGTTGCACCCGCAAAATCCGGAATCCTTCCACAACACCATGTGTGGTACGTTCATCGTGGGATCCCGTGAAACTTTGCACATTTTGCGAACGAATGTGCACGGCGCTAAAAGCGAAAGCCACATTTTGAAAAGGGCCCGCCCTCAATCCGTGACACCCTGGCAAATGTTTAGAACGAATGCGCGCGGCGCCCAGGCGTGAGCCACATGTTTAAAACGGTTTGTCCCCAATCGGTGAAATTCTTGCAAATCTTTGGTTTGGAACGAATGTACGCGGCGCTAAGGCGAGGTCTACATGTTGAAAACGGGCGATCCTCAATACGTACGACTTCTTGCAAATCTTCAGAACGAATGTGCGCGGCTCTAAGGCGAGATCTACAGTTTGGAAACGACCCGCACTCCATCTGTGAAACTGTTGCCAATGTTTACGCTTCCGAGTCACGAATGGTGAGGAAGTCTCTGGCGAAACGCCCAGCCCGCCCTAAAAACTGGCTTCGATATGCATAAGGACAACGAACGGGGGAGGAGAAGGAGGAGGAGGAGGAGGAGGAGGAGGAGGAGGAGGAGGAGGAGGAGGAGGAGGAGGAGGAGGAGGAGGAGGGGGAAGGAGGAAGGAGGAAGAGGGAGGAAGAGGAGGAGGAAGAGGAGGAGGAGGAGGAGGAGGAGGAGGAGAGGAGGAGGAGGAGGAGGAGGAGGAGGAGGAGGAGGAGGGAGGAGGAGGTGGGCGAGGACGAGGAGGACGAGGACGAGGGAAGGGACGCGAACGAGGTCGACTAGGACGGCGAGGACGACGATGAGCGAGGACGACGAGGAGGAGGAGAAAGAGGAGGAGGAAGGAGGGAGAGGAGAAGGAGGTGGAGGAGAGAGGACGAGGAGGAGGGCGAGGAGGAAGGAGGAGGAGGGGGAGGGAGGAGCAGGAGGAGGAGGAGAGGAGAGGAGGAGGAGGATGAAGGAGGGGGAGGGGGAGGAGGAGGAGGAGAGGAGAGGAAAGGGAGGAGGAGGAGGAGGAGGAGGAGGAGGAGGATGAGGAGGAGAGCAGGAGGAGGATGAGGATGAGGAGGACTAAGACGAGACGACGAGGCGAGGACGAGGACGACGAGGACGACGAGGACGGCGAGGACGACAAGGAAGAGGAGGAGGAAGAGGAGGAGGAGGAGAGAGGAAGAGGAGGAGGAGGTGGAGGAGGAGGAGAAGGAGGTGGGAGAGAGAGGACGAGGAGGAGGGAGGGAGGAGAGGAGGAGGAGGACGAGATGAGGGCGAAGACGAGGACGATTAAGGAGGAGGAGGAGCGGAGGAGGTGAGGCCGATGAGGGGGAGGAGGAGGAAGGAGGAGGAAGGAGGAGGGAGGAGGAGAGGAGGATGAGAGGAGGAGGAGGAGGAGGAGGATGAGGAGGAGGAGGAGGAGGAGAGGAGGAGGAGAGGAGTGAGGAGGATAGGAGGAGGAGGAGGAGGAGGAGGAGGAGGAGGAGGAGGAGGATGAGGAGATGAGGAGTGGGAGGAGGAGAGGATGACGACGGAGGAGGAGGAGGGAGGAGGAGAGATGAGGAGGAGGAGAGGAGAGGAGGAGGAGGAGGAGGAGGAGGAGGAGCGAGCGTGCAGCCGAGCGGCGGTTGGAGGACCCGCGGACGCGGGCGGCGGGCACACTGGCACCTTAGACCCACCGCCCTGCACCTGCACCACGGAGCCCGAAGGCCGGGACCGCGTTGCAGGCGCTGGGCTGTGGGCTGAGGCCCCGTCCGGCCCCAGGCCGGGCGGCACACGGGGCCGAGAGCACGGTCCTGCGGCAGGCCCGTGCTCATCAGCACCATGCCCACCGAGACGCGGTTGGCCGCGGCCAGGGCTCCCAGCGCCTTCAGAGCGGGGCTGATCCACGCGTGGCCCAGCGGCTTCTGGCGGCAATCGAAGCACAGGCGGTCGCCAAGGTCCAACACGACACCGACCCACGCGTGGCCCATTTCACGTGAAAGCCGCGCATGGCAGAACAGACTGGGTGAGCCCAACACACAGGTACTCAAGGGCAAGCAACGCTTCCGACCCAAGAGCCGCGGAAGGACAACACATGTCTTGGCGACCGAACCTGTCAGCGACAGGATTTTCAAGCTAAACAAGTTCCTGAAGTAGCGGGTAGCACACCGACCTTGCCCCAGGCCTGGATGCCAACCTATGAAGTCAAAACAAGTGCCGACGTCTGAGCCTTGATTTGGTTCTGGCTGACCCAAATCCAAAACCCTTTCATATTGAATCCCGTATACCTTAAGGACATGGGTTATTATTCGAAAAGCGCGTGCCTGCCCATATACCATGGCTCGGTGGACGCTTCTTCATTCTTCACCTTCTGAATATGCTCATCGTCATCCGCCGCCACTGGGAAAATCTAGTCAAGCAATTCCGCTGCCTGGGAATAGAACCAGACTCCGAATCTCGCCAAATAGTTAAGTACCGTGCGATGGAAACGCGACATCCCTTCACGAATGTATTTGCTGCTCAGGTGGTAAATGATATTTAGCTCCTCATTTTGCATGTTTCTGGAACTTAGAGGTGGCGCCTTCACGAACATCATTCATCGTGGTTAGACCTTCCACATGAACATGGCACTGGTCCGAGAAATCGTTTCTCATCCTGGCCGTATTCCATATATGAGCTTTGGCACACTTGGAGCCTGAAGCCCATGAGAGGTTGTACCAACAGGATAGCGCACTCTTGCATTCAGACAGAAGGTTCCACATCCTGAGCACCAACCTGCCGGCCTGTCAAATCGCAGAGTCCTCATCTCTTGCAACTTGTGTCGGACCGATTTGTCTTGGCACTGATCCACAACAGCGTCCAACTCTGGGTCGTTCGTTGTCGAATGTGATGACTGCCCAACCTTCAACTCTGAGCTCTGGTATGTCCGTCAATAGTCGTTGCCGTTGGCGAACATAAAACCATCCTCAACCGTAACAACTCCAGTTTTGTCAACATTAGTGACGTCGAATTCCGACGATCTCGGCTAGTTGAAAAAAGGCTTGCCCTGGATTATGTAGAATTCCTCGTGCAGTCTTATCCTGTACAGACTGGGGCAGATTCCCAATCTCTACTGTTTGCCGAACAGGATCTGGGATCAACATCTGCCTCTGCTCAGCGTGCGCATCACATAACATGATATATGACAGAGAGTACCAGGAGCTATCCCGCCTCTGGTACAAAGGTGGTGTTGATCTTGAGGAGGAGGAAGAGGAGGAGGAACAGGAGGAAGAGGAGGAGGAGGAGGAGGAGGAGGAGTTGGGAGAATGACTCTATCCACCACTTCCCCTCTTTCTCCTCCCTCCGACCCCCCTCTCCCCTCCCGCCTCCCCCTCGCCCCAGCCCCTGCCCCATGGGAGCGGACTTCCCAAAGGGCCCCAATGAGACTTCCAGGGCACAGACAGACTGTAGCCTAGGCCCCAAGTCAAGGGTGGGGGAGGAGGAGAAGAGAAGCAAAACGAGGGGGAGGGCAGAGACAGCGACAGCGACAGCGACATGACGCGGACGACGTCGGCGACACGACGGCGGCGCCAGCGGCGGCGACGATGAGTGGAGCCAAAGCAAGAGGCGTCGGCGTCGGCGGTCGGCCTTTGCGCGCCAGGACGGCAGGCGCTTCGAGGGCTTCTGGAGCCAAGGCAAACAACACGGCTGGGGGGTCACCTATGCCCTGGACGGCAGGATCCCATTTTGTTGTTGGTCTCTCTCTCGCTCTCTTTGTCTTTGATCTACGTTCTTAGCGGAAGGAAAAGTTGCAGAAACATACAAACCTGGGCGATCCGCCCAGATTTCTCGGAACCGCGCTGGACCTTCTTCTCTGGCGCGCGGAGCGCGCCAGGGGCGGCGCCGGAGGCGCCGCCAGGGGGGCCCAGTGCCGACCGGAGACATCCGCGCGGACCTCTGAGTTCTTCTGTTTATGTTATTGCTCGTTCATTATGTTTATGTCATTGTTCGTTCCCTTATTGCAGTTGAGATGCTCAAACACCTTCGGCGAGAACCTGAAGCATGCCATGTTGCACTTGTACAACGCCGTCATACAGCCTGTAGCGATGCCCCCAGAGAAGTGGAAGCACACTCAGGTCAGCGTCATCCACAAGACGGGGCTGGAGGACATGTCAGAAAACTACAGACCAGTGTGTTTAATTATTGTGCTATACAAGTTGTTCTCCCGCTTGTAGCACAACAGGTTAGAACCGAAGCTTGATGCCCAGCAGCCGCCCGAACGAACCGTATCCCGAAGGAACCGCAACACCGTTGACCACTTGTTCACGTTGACGCGGATTCAAGCGGTGTCCCGGGAGTGGAACCAACCAGTCTGGGCAGCGACGCTGGTCTTTCGAAAACGCCTGCGACACAGTGTCTCACGAAGCTCGTTGGACAACTATGGCAGTGCAGGGTGCCCCCAAACCAGACACTTCGCTCACATCACATCTAGATTTTTGCCAGACAGGAATTGTCAAAACGGACAGGTCCAGCAAGAAGTTCAAGATTGAGCGTGGTACCAAGCAAGACGATCCTTTTAGCACATCGCTGTTCGACTGATTCGAAGACCATGTGTTTAGACTGATCAAGCCAACGTGGTCTTCAGGAAGCACGGCTTGCCGCTACAGTTTGGCACCAATCTGACGTTGACGAACTTGCGGTTTGCAGATGACGCCATCTTTCTTTGTCTGGAAGATCTCTCATACAGGTCAAGCGCATGCCGTCCAGCGTCGCGTTTACAGCCGGGACTACGGGGCTGCAGTTCCATCAGCATAAGACGAATATCGTGCATAATACGGACACTGGCACGCCACGGGTGTCACAGGAATGCGCCGATCATCGAGATCCTGCCGTTTACCGGAACTCAGGAATACTTGGGGCGATTGCTCTCATTTTCTGATTCCACGAAGGTTGCAATCGAGGCGCGTACTGAGGTCGCCTGGAAGCAGACTGGGATCTTTAAATCGGAGCTGACATCCAGACCCTTTTCTCTTCGCGACCAGCTGCGTCTGTTCAATAGAACGGTGACCCCGACTTTCCTCCATGGTTCTGCGCGCTGGAATCTAACAGCCAGCCTTGAACAACAAATACGCAGCACCAAGAGAAAACTGCTTCGTTGCATTTTTCGGGTGCCCGCACGTCGTGCGCAGATGAATGACAGACAACCACGGGGACCACGTTTTTGATTCTGGCGAGGATCAGAAGGTTCTGCCGCCAGCTCGACGAGCAGCAGCGATATCGACCCAAATACCTCATCGAGCTCGAGTGACACATCCGGCAAACTCGAGCCCTGGCACGATTAGCTTGGGCACAACGATGTACACATTACGCTGTGCAGCACATGGAAATCCATTGGTACAAGGAGTGGGTGTTGATGCAGGGACGGCACACATGGAATTTGGCACGACAACTTGTTACGTCAAACAGACATCAATGGAGCAATGCAGCGTTGCAGTGAGATCCGAATATAAAGGCGCAGCCATAGATAATACCAACGGGCAGACCCAAGCGGAGGTGGACCGACGATCTCACCGCGGCAGTGCTGAAACACAGTTGTGATGGAAGTGACTGGATGAGAGTTGCCGGAAATGCATCGGAGTGGGAACGGGCTGGACAACCGTACGCCTCTGGGGGCTAAGTAACCGGCGCACCGGCGCCCACTCCCGGCCCCACGCGCGGCCGCCCTCTTCGGGCGTATTGGGAGTTGTCTCTCTGTCTGTCTGTCTCTGTCTCTGTCTCTGTCTCTGTCTTTCTCTCTCTCTCTTACTCACTCACTCCCTCTCTCTTTCTCTTTCTCGCTCTCTCCTCTCGGAGCGAGCGCCGCTGCTCACTATCGTCAGGCCGTGAGCGACTGATGGAAGCAGTGTGCAGCGGAACGCTAGATGTACCATCCCGAGCAGTGCGGGAGGCGGGCTGCGCCTTTCTCCCCTCGTGCTTGCCTCGCAGAGGTGAGGGCCCTCTGTCCCTGGAGAGACTCGTGGCCTGGCGAGGGCGCGGACTTTGCAACAAGCGCGTGATCCGCGTCCCCGCGGCTGTGTTCTTTCGAAAACAGCAGCAGGCGCAGCTCGAAGGAGGAAACAAACACGTCATACACATGAGCTTGTGGCGTTTCGTGCGGATTTCTTGGATCCGCGCTGGGCCCCCGTTGGCGGCGCCTCCAGCGCCGCCCCTGGAGCGCCCCGCGCGCCATGGAGGGGGTCCAGCGCAGATCCAAAACATCTGCCTGGAGCGTCTCAAATTGTTGATTATGACGCTTTTCTTCTTCAGCGACGCCCCCCCGAGGCTACGGACCTGCGGAAAAAGGCTGCAGGATGCGCGTTCCCAGAGTCGCGATCCCTTGTGCAAGGATCGTGGCTGGGAACGCTATCCCTTCGAAAATTGAAAACGCTTTGAGCATCTGGGAACGCCTGGGGGTACGCGCTTCGGGGGTCCTGGCAACAACCTGGAGCGGCTGGGGCGCTTGGACACGCCTTGGCGCGCCTGGTGGCATCTGGGAACGCTTGGGGGCGCGTGGGAGCGCCTGGGAGCGTTGGGGAACGCCTGGGGGCGTTGGGGGGCGTCTAGGAAAACTTTGGAGCGCGTTGGAGGGAGCGGATCCCCGGGGAGCGCCTGGCATCGCCGGGGAGCGCCTGAGGGCGTCTGGGAACGCCTGGAAGCTTGGGAGCGCTTGTGGGCGCCTGGGGACACGTGGGGGCGCCTTGGACCATCCGGGGGCGGTTGGGAACGCGCCGAGCTGCCTGGGAGCGCTTCGCATCGCCTGGGTCGTCCAGGGCCCAGGGGCGCCTGGGAACGCTTGAGAGCCCCTGGGAGCGCCTGGGGGCGCCCTGGAACGCTTGGGAGAGGGGGCGCCTGGAAACCTTCAGGATCCCTTCGGAGCCAGAGCGCCCGTCAGCTTTTCGGAGCGCTTGTGGGCATAACGCCTAGTGCGTGGGAGCGCTTGTGAACGCTTTGGGGCGTTTGACAGCACCTGCCTGACATCGAGTGGGAACGCCTGGGGGCACACGGGAGGGGCGCTTGGGAGTGCTTGGGAGCGCTGCCGAGCCCGCGGGAGCGCCTGGGAGTGGGGGCGCTTGGGGAGGTCCCAAGGGCGGACGCAGCTGTGTCGCCAAGGGTCCCATATACTGACAGGGTGTTTTACTTAAGAACTTCTGGCGCCAAGGGTCCCGAAAGCGAGAAGTGGCGCAGAACATTTGAACCGCCAAGGCTCCCAATAGCGAGCGGT